TAAATTGTTCCTCTACGAAACACTCTTAATGGTGACTCAGTTCGAGTGTGCCATCATTGATTTCTCGCTGGAATCCTGACCGACGCAGCAGTAAATAAGGCACAACTAACACTAGCATGGAGAAGAGACAGGCGACAAACACATCTGCAAATATACGTTATATGATTTTAGATAGCGATAAAGCTAAAAAAGTAAAATGGGGTAATGGGATGGAGTCATCACCTGACTCTGTGCCACTCCCTGCACTTAACAGCCGTATTCAGCAGAGCACCTCCTTCCACCTGTCTTTTGTTTTTTTTTTAGATCATGTATCCATATTGCTACTTTCATGTCAATTCCCTGGTTTTAAAATGAGTAAATTATTTTCTTCAAAAAACAAAAAGGAGCACGACCTGACCGACATCTAGGGGAGAAAGGCTGTATCCTAGAGTGGCCTGGAAAGGCCTTTCTGAAGAGGGGACACCTGATGAACACCATAATGATGAGAATGAGGCAGCTGCACCAACATATGGAGGAAGAACATTCCAGAACTGCAGATGCAAAGGGCCCCAAATGGAAAAGTGTTTGAATAGCATGGAACCTAGCGGACCAGAGGAGAGTAGTAGTAGAAAGGGTCAGGGAGAGAGGGCACAAGGGGGTTTGGGTTTTATCCTTAGGCCACTGAGAAGTCATCATAGAATTTGGGACAGGGAGTTGTAAGCGCCACAGTCCTAATAGAAATCAGATTAAACCATGAAAGGGTTTAGCTGAAGAGAACGTGATGAAAGGACTATTCAGGTAGGTGTGGTCAGGGCTAGGGAACTAATAAAGGGGTGAAGCTTGTGGGAACTGGCATTAGAGAGAAGCTGTTAGCAGCCCTACACCTGGAGGGGACAAGGAAGGGGAGCCGTCACTGGCATGGCATCTGGGGAGAGAAGGAGCCGTGAAAGAGGGGCCGCTGATGGGAGCTGCATCAGCTGGCGACTCCCCCAGGCGGTTAGGAAGGTTTGGAGGGTGGAGATGAAGTCGGATTAGGGCACATCCTGAGCCCTGGGGGCTGAGTCCTGGGCAGGGTGGGTGACACAGGAGGTCTGGACTTCAAGGACCACTGGGCACCCAGCCGCCTGCACCTGTGACGTGAAGCAGAGAGGCTGGGAAGAAGGAATTTCATCTTCCGATGATTATCCTTAGTCCCAGAATGTCTCAGCAAATCCTAACAGTTTACTTAAACATGAACACCTTCAGGGCTGGGTCAGGGAACTGGGAGTTTCAGGGGAAGCCAAGAACAAGATGTGGGGACTGAGGTAAGGGGGGATGCCAGCCCATGGAAGGGCTTTCCCACTGAGGAGTTATGGAGGTGAACGCACGAGAGCCATCTGGTACCTGGAGCCAAACCCCAGCTTCAGGGATGGTTTGTTCAGCCAGCTTCCCAGGCTCGACAAACTTTCCAAAGTCCTTTTACTGCTGTGTTCCCAACACCCGATGAAAGCCCGTCGGGTGCTGGTTTGGGCTGAACAGAGGCCTCACTCCCTTGCACCTGCTCACACCAAGGGGCACTCGTCAACTGGCTGGTCCAGGCTGGCAAAGACAGATGGCTTCCAACCCTCTACTCCTTAGTGCAGAGAAGCACAGAGTTCTTAGTGAGACTCAATTCCAGGGAAAGAAAACACTCTGGGTGTTTTCTCGGAGAAAGTAAGTATATATAGCCTTTTCTCCCCCCTCTTCTGGTTTCTGTCTTGTAGTAAGATACATCTGAAAAAAACAACAGGGCATTGCTTTCTTAAGAAGCCTCAGCCACCCCCACTGACATTAATCTCATCCAGTGGCTTCTAAATGTTTTTAGCAGCACCACTCTTTTTATAAACAAAATCTGCCACAAAATCATAATGTATAACACAGGCGACATCCCAGTGGCCATTTCCTAGACACCCCGGTAGCCCTGATTCTAGCCAGCTGATCAGAATCTTCCTGAGTGTGTGCATATGTGTAAGTGAGGCTTACTGGGGTATAATTTGCATTCAAATTGTTTGAATTTGCATTCAAAAATTCACCCTTTTTAGGTATACAGTTAGATGAGTTTTGACACAGTCTTGTAATAACACCACAGTCCAGACCCAGAACAGCTCCATCACTCCCCAGATTCCCTCCTGTTCTTTCGGAGTCAGTCCCTTCCCCCCACCTCCATTCCCAGAAACCACTGATCTGATTTCTGGCCCTGAAGTTCTGCCTCTTCCAGAACATCATATGAATGGAGTCATGCTGTATGTAACCTTTAGTGTCTGGCTTCTCCCATTCAGCCTAATGCTTTGGAGAGTCATCCATGGTTTTGCACACATCAGTAACTTGTTCCTTTTTATTGCTGAGTAGAAGTCTCTTGTTCTTGTGTGGTTTTCAGAGTTGCCCTTCAGCTTCTGATTCTTTTCTGCATAGCACATGAAGCCTTCCATTCAGATAATTTTCCTTCTTCCTCGAAATACTGAGATTGAAACCCTGGTAATGC